ACATTAATGTTCTGCCCATATTGATCTGCATTTTCCTGTGACAACACAAGGCTCGTAGCCTCAATCTCTCCTGCATCAGAGGAGTTGACTGACCTGAATGGATCTATCAAATAAAACCCTTAACAATGTGCATAAAATTCTTATTTCCTCTTACATGTGTCATCTGTATCTGTACAGACATCCTTAGGGTGTACAAATTTCCTAAAACATGAAGCAAAGACATAATCGGCTCTGAAGAGTATTTATTAAAATAAATTACAAATATCCCACCCAGAAGGATCCAAATAGCCTCACATACGTCAGAATGTTTATATTTACTTCAGTGTATATAATTTTTGGATACAATGAATGTAAAATATCTTGCAAAAGTGTAAGTCCTAAACTGTCAAACATTCTATGGATTACGTAACAGTTCAATGAAGGGATTCATATTGCTTTCGCTATGCTGCAACCCATCTGTCTTTACTTCAGCCAAGTTATGGCAGTCATACTTCCATACACTTGTATTACAGAATTCTACATCAATACGATGCCTAAACTGTTCACTATGGCTTGTCAGATTATTGAGGAATTAGCTGCCAAGAAACTTCTAACTGTACCAATTAGAAAAAAGCCTTAACATCTCGGCACCAACCCCAAAGCTGCAGCAGTTCCTATCCAATTTATACTTAAATTACCTCTGAAATCAGACAGCAACTTACGTAACTTATACAGACATTCTGAGTACCATGTTTGATTTGATGTTTTTAATGGCAATGTCTATAAGGAGTTTAGGGTCCTGCGTTGCAGCAACGTGTAGTTTGGAGATGGTCCAATGTTTAGGAAGAATATGTCACCTCCAAAACGCGGGGCTCTCTCCGAACTACACGTTGCTACAACTCAGAATGCTGTACCCTTCATTCCAAGTACCAGCCATAGCCTCCTCACTGTCGCCATGCAATTCAGAAGTATCAGCAAATGCAGAACAGGCAACTCTCAGTTCTCAGTTCCTACACCTAACTCCCATGTCAAATCAAAACCAACTCCTATCTACTCATGACTGTGTATTCCCTGTATGTGCAATTACAATGTATACTCTCTAAGTGAACAACTCTTCGGCTAAGATCTTCCATGGGAACATGGCTGTAACAACGAAGATTTCAGACTTCTGGGATGTGACACCATGCAGTCTGGTAAAATGTTACCAACATCTCTGAGGAATGTGAGGCCTCCATCTTCAGGGTCTTATCACTTTACATGTTCCTCCAAAGTTGTGGTAACATTCTACCAGTCTACATGGCCTCACATCTAAAACAACAACAGTTTTCCAAGTTATCAGGTGTTTGGAAAAGCCCACTGTCAATTAATCCAAACTGTCACATGCTGATACTGTATGCAGATATGAGAGCCACAGTTTACAGGATGAGTCCTGGAAAAGAGATATCATTGGCTGTACTTTATTCGATAGAAACTAGCCAAAGGGAGGTAAGGTGAAAGCATACAGAGTCCATTTTGCATATACACAAAAACTTTACCAAACGTTTGTAACTTCTAACACTTCTGTAAGACTTACATGAAAGTGATTTAGACCAACGAAAGCAGAAACTGATATAATGCTTTAGACAGGTTTCATTATGGAACTCCCATATCACACTCCATCAAAATGCATGTTGCCTGCGAGAACTGCAACATACAACAATGGGAATATAGACACAGTTCTGTCACAGAAAATGCTAAATTTTCTGAGCTACGAATATCAGCTTGGTCATGTTAGTATTAATGACCCGGGTGCTTCCTTTGATTCAAAGCTACATTTTCACACACATGTTAATTACATATTTTCTGAATGCATAAAGCTTTTAGGCCTTATTCGCTCCATTACCTACAGACCTCCCTCCTTGGAGTGTCTGTATGTACTATACTTTACTTTAGTCAGGTCCAAGTTTGAATATGCCTCGGTAATTTGGAACTCCATCACCTTGACTGATGCCAATAAGCTTCAGCACATCCAGCAGAAGTTTGCTTCCCTCTGTTTTTATTTTTCTTCCCCCTCATATTCCATATACTTATACTGATGGTTTAGAGAAATTAAGTACACATTCTTTACATAAATGGAGAAATCACTCTGATGCACTTTTTTTGGTTCAGGTCTTTCGTCTTAAATCTTGCGCTTCTCTTTTGGAAAATGTTAGCATTCGTGATCCTAGCAGCAATCTTAAGGACTTCTCTTTGTTTGGTGTTTGCCCTCTAATAAACACTGTCCTTCTGCTCGATGCGCCTATGCTACCAACACGGCGGGTAAAGATCTCGACATATTTGCAATTTGAACAGAGTCTGTCAATCACACTGAACCTAAAATTAATAATATTTGATAATACTCCTAATATTACACGTGTGTAATATGTAAAATTTAAATTAAATTCGCATAGTAGGGGGTGGAGTCCAACTGGATCCACTCGGCACAGGGGCCACTGATTGGCCTATCGTAGCCTGCCCTGGGTGATTATGATGATGGAGAATTTGGTAGAATGAAGATTGGCAAGGGAAACCTAAGTACTCTGAGAAAACCCAACCCAGCGCCACTTTGTCCACCACAAATCCACTTGAGCTATGGCGCGGCCTGTGTATATACGTATATTGGTCTTGTTTTATTTTTCTCTCCTGTTAACTTTAATTTTTCTTGGAATGATTATCAATTTATTGCCATTATATAGACCCTCAAATTTCATATTTTGTTTTTTAATTATTTTTCTGTATTTCTATGTACTTGTGGTAACCATTTAATTGGCCTCTGTGCTGTTAAGTTTGCATGTAAATAAACATGAATTGGATTATTATTATTATTATCATGAGTGTGAACACATTTGTTCACTCATGTATTCCAGAACAAAGAGGAAGATATGCCACTTTCTGATGCAATAAGAGCTTCAGAGAATTTGTCAATTTAACAAAGAATTACAAGTCTTACAAATTCTTATGAGGCCTCTTTCAACTATAGTAATGCAGCCAGGGAATTACAAATAGCTTATCTCAACCTGGTACAAAAGGCTAAATCTCTTTTTTCCATGTTAATTTGTGTTGTGCCACTTTTCTGCCACATCTTAGTGAACCACTGATCTAAAGAGAGCCACACAATTCATTAATGGTTCACTAAGAATTTTTTCCATGATTGTTTGTGACATACCACTTTTTTTATATGTCTTAGTACACAACTGATTTAAACAGAGCTGTTTCCACACAGTGACATGAGAGTGATCAGTGGTTTGTTAACATATTTGCTAAGAAACATATGAATGGTCCCACAGGTGTAAATTTGGTACTAAAAATTAAATTACAAAATCTTGATTTATATTGTTAACACGGAAGGCACAACAGGAAGTAGGGGTCACGTGAACTCCGCATTTCCACGAGTGACGTCACGTACCCCCACACCTCCCATCATTACACAATGCTGGGTAAACACCCCTCCCCGCCACGCTGTGACATCACACAACAGGCGAGTTCGTGCAGCGACTACTGCTAGGCAATGCGAGTTAGAAACACCAGATAACAATACCTGATATCTGTTGCCAAGCAGCAATGTGTTCTTTATGTTGTCTGTGGCTAGCCTAAATAAGGAGCAGCGATCACTCGATACGACTCAACTCGTAGCTGCTGGACTTCAACTCATACTGGATACTAGTAACTCTCTCTAGCAACTCAATACTCAATCCTCCTGAATCAAAGTCAAAGTCATATTGCGACAGATGATCAGTCTTGGTATCGAGCACCCTCCTGGGGCTCATGACCAGATATTTATTACTCCTTGACAGCTACGGTCTTGCTGCTGGCCCTTGCCCAAAAGACAGGCCCATCCTCTCGTCAGAGAGGGCGGCCCACAGAAACAAGACCTAACTGTCGAGGAGCAATAAATATCTGGTCATGAGCCCCAGGAGGGTGCTCGATACCAAGACTTACTGACTGACTGATCATCAGTTGCAATATGACTTTGACTTTGATTCAGGAGGATTGAGTATTGAGTTACTAGTATCCAGTATGAGTTGAAGTCCAGCAGCTATGACTTGAGTCGTATCGAGTGAATGTCAGTGGCTACAACAGAAGTAATTGTGATACTGCCGATGGCAGTAGGTGTGAAACTGTAAACTGTGTAAATGCAAGAGCAAATGTGCAATAAATTCAATAGATCCAGAATAGCGTGAAGTCATTTGTCACGTCACATACCCAACACGTGACAATATGTTTACATTTATACTGAAGATGAATCTATCCTATTAATTAGTACAGTAAACCACAATTACTTGGCATGTATAAAGAATGGGGTCTGCCAGTTACATGAATCTGCTGTTTTCATGAGAAAAGTTCTTGCAGAAACCTAATTTATAATCAAAATATCACATTCTTGCTTTAGTTCTTGCATGGACTATTCCCATACAATGCTGCAGATTGACAGGTGAAAGATTTTGAATTCACAAGATCACAAATTCAACTAGCCTCTGCTGAAATGGCATCTGCATAATGGGTTGTGCCGTAGTGGAAGCTGGGAGGACTATTGAATAGTGAGTGAAAATACACTCATAATTTTTTTAATGACTTTATAATTTTCTTAGAAATATTTGCCAGCTGAATGAAAATCCTAGATGCCTGGATACCAGACAAACAGGAATTTACTGTACTTGTAAATTTGTAACTCCAGCTCAGATGGTATACCTACTTCTTTCTATGGATCTACAATATTATTTTCATTCTGGTACACATTCACAATGTACACATCAGGAAGTGCAGAAATCAGCACACAGTTTTGGCATCTTAAGAAGAACAGTTCTTTACAGTTTCTCATAACGAATTGGCACAGGCAAGATGGTAAAGCCGTAAAATAATGTCCTATCTTCAAATTAAGATCTCTGTGTCACAGATGGCTCATCTTCATGGCAATGTGAGTTCCAAGAATCTTCTAAATGCTGTTACCTTCTTCTACCTGACATAGTCTTCTCTTGATGAGGTTCCAAATAAATTGGACTGACATTTGATGGTTTGAATTTTCTGAAATAAATAATATTCCCTATATTAACAAATCACATGTAACTGATAAAAATAACTGTCATGCTTGTTCATAACTTCACTGTTACAGCCACTGAACACAAAATATCAGTCAGAAACGGGTATGGATGCAGTCCTAAAAGTAAAGAGCTGCAGCGCTCTGGCACACAGCTCCAAATTGAAATAAATGGGCAGGAATCCTGATTCAAGGCAGTTCTCGTCATTAACATAATGTTAACTTTGCTCTTTTAATTGCAGAAACCTTTAAAACACTGATCAGGAAAAAACTGTGTTTTTAAAGAGGTGAGAATTTTATCTCAGGCTAGAGATCAAAAATGAAATAATGTAGAAGGGTTTTTACTTTTAAAGCCTGTAAAACATTCAATACGAATACTTTTCAAATGATCCTTTCAAGAATGTTCAAGAATACAGAACTGTATTATTGAAGCAAAATTGTAATCTGTAAAGAATGAGTGAAAGAAGCGTACATTTTAATAACAAGTATTGAAGTTTGACAACCCTGTCCATAATAGAAGTGTTAGGGCAGTGCCCCAGCACCCAAACAGCAACAGGGAACCATCCTGGACCAACCTGAATTATCTGCAAACCTAAAAACAAGGTATAATTTTGGAACCAGCTTATATCAAACTATGCAATCTGAGATGCATGGGACAGTGCATACTGCAGTCTTCTGGTGTGATGGCCTGCAGCTTGTTAAATGCCAATATGACAGAAGAACCTGCCCAAGAAACAGAGGCACTAAAGTTCACTTAAAGAGATGGTAAACAGAGTCCAAATCATCTCTGACCATTCATCATACCTTGGGTAGGCAAACTTATGAAGAAAGTGAGATCTCCAATAACATGATTCAGGTTCCAACTGTGTGTTGAGAAAAGAAACTAGTTAACTTCTGATGACAATGTAACAATCTACATTAGGATATGATGATGATGATGATGATGATGGACCCTCAAAAGGATTGATCATTTCACTGAGACTTGTATTAGCACTACAATATTCATATTTGTGTTTACAGAAGTCTTACTTATGAATACTCCAAGTCTGGCACTCCAGTGACAAGCATTTCACCGCCCTTCATGTGCAGTCTCCACATACTCTTGTGATAACCTCGAACTGAAACAATTTGCAGAATAATGTTATGCAAGTACTCTATGAAGCCCAATGAAACATCAACATAGGAATTTATATGACTGAATACAGAGCAAAATCTCACCTTCTACACACGCTCACTATGTTCTGCTTTGTTGCAAATACCTAATTTCAATAACTTGAATGTACTGCAAATATACAGTACATATGTATTAGGGTACTAAATATGGTAGGATAAGTAAGCACTATGAGGTGCTGCTCTCTAGAGGAACGTTATGACCTTTACTCATCAGACGAGGTAGGGTGAAGAGGAGGAGGTTGGTGGAAGCAGGAGAAAGAAGAGGTATGGAGAAGTGGCATGAGGAAGAGCATGACATGGTAGAAGTCAGAAGGAGAATGGGAAGGTTGGAAGTGAATGAGGAGGAAATATGGGGTGGAGGAGGCAGGGTGGAAAAGGAAGCAGGAAGAGGAGGACGTGTTTGGTGGCAGAAGAAAGAGAGAGGAGGGTTAGCTCTCTCTACCAACAGCACAGCATGTCTGAACCTACTTGCAGCCACATTACAAAGTCTTTTGATTCTTCCATTTTGATGAACATTATTATGATTTCACCCTGAAACAAAGAAGAAAATATACAGACACATATATAACTTACATCTTATTAATCTTATTAATCAGTTGGCCTTAAAATAATGAACACGTAATGAGAAACAGACATATGTATTTGTACAGTTTGAGGTTTTCAAGGCAATGAAGATTCTTTCTGTGATATCTGTGTTACACCACATTGTAATCTGGAAGGCTGGTCACAGTGTTTCGGCGAAACATGATACTTCCATCCTCAGGGTTGAATATTCAAGATCAACCCTCTTCCTCCAAATCATTGGTAACCAGCAACATTACAAGAAAACACAGTGTCATAATACAGACATCACCATGGGAGCAAATGTATTTCATAACTGGTGAAAATATCAGAGAGTATGGGCCATTGTAGGTGAACGATTTTTAAAATAGACAAAACACAATAATGATTAAATATATTACAAAAAAAAAAATACAAAATTGATGCAGTAAATATATTCACTTTTTTGTCTGGTATGAAGTTCTCCTCACATTGTGATTTGCTGTGATCCAAAACAAGACCTCTCTTGATTATGTCCACAATTAACTCATTATTGTTCTTCTTTATGCTGTAAATACATTAAATAAATATTAAATATTTATCATATGAAAATCTAAAGAAAATTCATTACCTAACTTTCTCACTAGAATTTTAATTCTACAGCGAACTGATATAACTTCTCTAAATATCTTTGATTGTGCATCACTACCATGCTCAACATGATTTACAGACACAAATACATTTTTGCTTTTTTGAAATTTAGTATTAAATTGTGTAACCTATGTAGAATTATCAACAGGAACACTACACTGAAGACCTTAGTGTCCACACAGGATATTCTTCTGTAAGTTTATGTTTCCTGCACCCCATAAAGATATTTTACTGGGAATCTAGTACTATAAAAGGTGAAACTAAAGACTGGGACAAAGAATAACCAACAATGTTATAATGATATCATACCAATACATTTCAAACTTGAAGTCATATTCTCCTATGTGATAATTTTAGTTAAAATATTGCTGTTACATGTATTTATTTATGCAACTAGAGATATACATATATGTTCTGGCTGAGGAGGTAGTTTCAACTGCATTTCAAGGAATATTTGGATTATGTGACTGTACCGAACTTGACAGAACATCATTAATCGGTTAATTACTGTAGATACATACATATGTATGACACTCATGCATTTCATTATGAAACACTTGGGTTTTTAGCTCAGGATATTTTTTCAATAAATGCCCTGATTTTTAACTATTAAGGGAGGCTTTGTTTTTCATTTGAACTGTTCGGTTCATACAAACAAAAGTACCCATTCATGGTCCAGGACATGGTAACTTTTCTTGTCAATGTCACAATATACAGCGGCCAAAATTACATAGAAGGCATAATAGTCAAATAACACGAACATATGATGAACATTCTTCATATCTTAATAAAGCATACTCATCAGATTAAACCTGAGTATGAGGATTCCAATTTTATCCAAAACTTTATTCATCCTTGAACATTGCTTTAATATTTGTAGCCATTCTACATACTGGCACAAATGCAGAGTAAATTCCTTAACAGCTTTGGGTGTTATGTATTAGATTTGTTACAAGAAACAGGCAAGAAAGTTACAATTTTATCTGTTACATTAATGAACTGGATGGGAGATGCTAAGAAACAATTCAGATTTAATAAATATTGACTACAGTAAACATGTCATTCACCTAGATCTCAATGTGCTACATGAAAAGTTTTTGGTCACTGACAATCTTACACAGTGGTCCCACCGTACAATCAGACAAACAGAATTTCATAAAACTGTCTTAACAGTGTTCTGATTAAGATGAACTGAGGTAGTCCTTTACACATGAATGTGTATATCTTTTGCTTCATATTAATTAAAATGCTTTCGTATAACATTTTCAGTTATAAATACAGGTAATAAACATGTGGTTTCTTCATGTAGTTATTTTTGTGTAACTTTGTAGTATAAGGAATGTCTGTAAATATGAAAATAGATGTTATACCTCCATATTTATATGTCCTGAAAACAAACAATATATTTGTATTATAAGATGTTCTCCATCCTTTGCATAGGCCTATGAAACATCTGAGAAATGTATATAATTTCTAATCTATTCTAAGAAGCTAAATGCTTGTATATTTCATTTTATTAATGGTTTTCAAAAACGGCACTCCAACTGATAAAAAAATACACAGTGCAAGTACTCGAGTTCGATTGTACATAAAACTGGAATTCGACACTAGATACGCTAGATACGCTCTTCACTGTCTGTCCAATGCCTACGCCATGAATATCACTTTTAGTTAACCTGTGAATTTCACTATCATGTTTATCGTATCTGAAGAAAGAATTAACTGTTGTTAAACAAATCTTACTTTTTTGTCTTTATATGTAGAGTTAAAATCTAATTCTTCGAATGTATATCTTCTTGATCTGGTGTTGCATATTCTCCAAGTTCACCTCTTTAGAGCAACGTTTTTAGTTTTACCCTTCTGAGAAAATTTACCTTCAGACTGTCATGTTTGTGCAAAACTCTCAAATTTTTGTATAAGCCTACTCTGTAAACACAAACTAATTACGGAATTTCATTTACGTAATCTAAACTGATACGGATTGAACTGCTATAAACATTGCCATTGTCAATTGTACACATGCACTGTGCAGTGAACAACAGTTTAGCTATATGATCAATATAATATATATTGTGTAATACACTAGTAAAAAAAGATAAAAACAATGAAACCTGAACGACATTCTTTCACCTCAAAACCCTTTTTACCTGCGTAATTCAAACAATTCCATTAATAAGCAAACACCAATATCCGACGTCTCTCACTCATATCTTGAACCAATTGCAAGCAACTCGACGTTATTTGCCTGCAAGATAACAGCCGACACAGCACGAGAGCATTAATTCTGCCATCTATATTCCTATTTAAATCGATTGACACAAAATGGCCGCCGCCAGTGCCGATCTCATGGTCGGTAAGGAGATACGCTATGATAGCGCTAGCAACAGACTAGCAATATATAATTTTGCCACCAAAATCTCTTGTACAACAGTCGTTCTTACCACGCTGTTGGTCTTCTTGTATTTTGGAAACAGGTTTAATTATCACTTCTCTCATATCCATCATGAGAANCAGTCACAGGAGCAAGACACAACACAGAGCACAATACACACATGAAAGTAGGAAGAATACTCCGATAGAAGAAGATAGGTGTGACTCGCGTATTGAGATACGACATAAGGATGACAAATCCTGAATAGTTTTAATATTTTTAATATTTAAAATTTATCAATATATATGAGGAATATATATTTTAGTTATTTTAGTATAAAGACAACAGGGCATGCAATGAAGTAGTTCGACGTACATCGAAAAGCACCTGAAGATGGCACTTTTGTGCTGAAACATGTAGTGCAAGAGAGAAGATTAAGGTGAATAAATGTATGCACTGTAAGACGGTCAGAATAAATCACGGATAGAAACATTTCATTTACATCAATCCAACACCTCCCTACTGAAATACACCGGACACTGTGAACTATAATATACATAGAATACTTGTGTTCAAGAAAGCTGAAGGTGGGTAGATTCTGTTTCCAGAAAATGATCATTTTGACCTTCTGGACAAGGGATTATTTAATATTACATCTGAAACAGAAAATCCAGTACATAAATTATGTGCCATAATCTTTTAAACTAAGAACCTAAAGTGTTTTATAAAAAGATCAACGCTCATTACTTTAATAAATCCAAGACAACAGTCATGAGTGACAAAACACTTTAGAAAGGGCACACAGGAAAACAAATTCCCGTTCGTTCCTTCGCTGATATGTTCACCGTGCAAGCAATTTTTTGTCAACTTTTACACTTATCTTGGTGTTTTCCCTTTCCCACTTATTTTACAAATAACTTTGCACCTAACATCAGACACTGGCAATGTTGGAGCTTAAATAATTTGGAATTTTCTTTTCCACAAGTGCCTGATATTTGAACAATCGTTTCCCACTGGCAACAGTGAAATGAGAACTGTTAAACTACCAATACCGGGTCACAACAGGTGATTTCCAGTTTGTCGCTATGGAAACAAACATACCGCAGCAATGTTTGAACAGTGACAGACGGGTCGCTTAATTGGAAGAGATAATACTACAGCTCTCCGTAACAATCCGTGACGAGGAAAAATGCTGTGGGGCCATGTTTTGTCTTTCGTTGTTATCTGTCATGTAGAGTGGACAGTGGCGTATGTTCATCGTTAGCTTCTTTTTTATTCCAGCCCTATAATTCATTCGTATAGAAAAGAACGCGAAACACGTTGTTCGACTTTGATTAATACGAATGGTTTGTAAAACTGAGCAATTAATTACAATTTCGAGAGTTAAAACTGTATAACGAGACGAACCTCATTACATGTTATTCGACTGCAGATTTTGAAAACGGAGTTGCTTTACACTGTTGAGTGTAAGGTTGAAAGGTCAGAATAAATGTATAAGGTATCTTTCCAATAAGTAATGCAATAACAATGCAGAGTTAATACAAGGTGTTAGGTTAGGCGGTTAGTCACCGAATTCCCATCCCGGAGGCCCGTATTCGACACCAGGCCAGGTCATGTGGGATTTTTGGTGGATAAATTGACACTGGAACAAATTTTCTCAGAGTACTTCGGTTTCCTCCGCCAGTTTTCATTCCACTAACGGCTCCAAACTCTACCATCCGGGGGTAGTACAATAGGCCAAAAAGCGGCCGACGTACCAAATGGACTCAGTCTCACCGCACCTCGAGATATGAAAAAAAAATTATATAAGAAGCAGGGAGGAAACAAATCGTGTCATAATTTGTGTATCAATCTGCTTCCTATCCAATTAGAATAACTCATTACTAAGGCACTATCTTTATGAACGGCAAGAACGCAATTCAAACTCGGCTGTTTTCAGTAAAAACAGTTTCCTCAGTAAAAATCCGGATTAATACTTAAAAGAAGGGGTCACGAAAAACCTCGTACTATTTTCTGTCACCACTGAACTGCAACGAGCCACCCAGCACTGCCACTGTTTCTCGAACTGATGTAGACACATCAGCCTCCCAAATTGATCCTGGCCGTACACCTGACACTGAGGCTGTAGACAGCTCGTCGCAACAGTCTGCCAGCATGCCCTAACCCGAAAGAACGAAAATGTGCAAAATAAGAAAATAGGTTAAGGTTACAGCCACTAGGTGCTACGAAAGCCCTACGAAAGACCCTCCTCTGGGTCAATCCAATGAAGTACACAAATCTTGTCCATAGTATCAACACTTCTTCTGCGCCTCTGCAATATAGATGAAGGGTATACAATGTAAGTTTAATGAGCCGACTACAAGAACGTATCTACAAAGCGTGTAAGTCAGTGTTGATCCACGATAATGAGACGAGGAATTTATCCTAATCATCGTGTCACAAAACACTGAAGTCGCCTGTTTTGGGGCACCCCTTTTATTTAGGGAATCGCTTTTAATCCTCACGTACAACGATCCGACGATCGGTTAACCCAAGTGAGCTGTAAAAACTTGTAGTGATGCTCGCTTTTTCCTCGTAAGAAAGAGATGTTTCAGCTGCATCTTCCACCGGTATTTGCTCTGAGGCAGTCCATTGTTAGACGCGAAGTGATCGATTGTGTTGCTGTTATTCTTCTTGCGTCCCTTTACAGAAATTAGTTGGAGCGTCGTATCTTTCTTTGTACGAGGGGTGAGCAAAACAAACATCTTAATGGCGATAATGACTTCTCTCTGTAAACTGACATTGTGTTTTTCTAATTTTTTTCGAGGATCTGAATAGATTAGTTCCCCCTCACTTACACGAATAGAGATAAACTTACTGTTGATGAATCTATGAGATAAAACGATAAACTGAGCATTCAGGGCTATCGATATTACTAAATGATGTTTTATTTTCATGTTGTTGCTGCCCATCCATTGCCTTAAGATGTACTTGGAAGACATGTTTCTCGCAACAGTGTTGAGTAACTAATTGTACAATAGTCCGCTCTTAAATCACGCAAGATCCTATGAATCGAGACTGGCAAAGTCATTGGTCTTTATTAAATCGAGTTCCTAAACTACCGAACTTCCACTAACAAATAGATTTAAAGTGCCGTTTGTTGTGTTTTAATACGAATTAGTTACAAAACACAGTTCTCCTTGAAAATCTAACAGTTCTTTATCTAGTCAAGAAATAACCATAATTTCTACAGAATTCGAAAGTTCATTATCGTGTTTCAAGATTCCGCTACTGGTCCCTTTCCTGGGCCAGATGAGTCCAGTATACACACACTCACAGTCAAGGTTTTTAAAATATATTTCAATATTATTCTCCCATCTATGCCTAGGTTTGCAAATCGGTCTAGTTCTTTAAGATTATTAGTACACTCTTTATATATGTAGTCATATTAGGACTGAATGTCCATAAACACAATATATTTTGATGTTTTATATATATAATTACCAGAAGGTACCTCACGTTTCGAAAATTTCTGGACATCTTCAGGTGCTATAGGCATATAACATCCTTGTTCTTGAATCGTCATAGTTTCTTACTGATTACCTTAGCGAGATGGATCCATTTCAACTTTATTTCGAATTGAAGAGTTATATAAGTAGCTCCGGGATATAAGGTCATGTAATCCTCTGAAAGATAACGGATGTTTCCGAGAAATATGGTACCTCCATCCTCAGAGTTGAAGAGTAAGCCAAAGAAGTTACCAAAATGGAGGAAAGAAACAAACAACTGTGAGGACCTGAAATCATACGTCGCCTACAACTGGTTATATGTACTCGTGCAATTAAGTATTATACATGGGAAGATTGCGATATTCTGGGTTGTACCACCGTGTAGTTCGGCAGAAGGTGTATTTGTCCATCAACCCTTCCCTCTCTACTGATGTGGTTTTCAACGTTTATTTAGGGCGAGGTCATTCATTTGTTGGATGAAATTAAGTTCTGGAGAGAGCGAGAGAGAGGCGTCTGTTTTCATGATATTCACTCAAGGCGTCCTTTACAGTTATAGGGTTTCACAAGGTTGTGAACATAAAGTCGCACTCCTGAGAAATTAGAATGGAAAACGCCAATTCAAACTTTAGTAACTTTAAATCATCACAGTAGTTTGCCATGTGTAATGGAACTATGCTATAACGTCTTACAACTATTGTGTTGCTGGACATTATCCATCGTCCTGTTTTTATTTAAAACACAACGTTTCGGAGACTGAATTCTGTCTCCGTCTTCAGGTGGACCCAATCGATAGAGCAAGTCCCTGTCTCCGGACATCTGCACAACACAAGATAGGGTACAAACCAAGCATAGCACAAAACAACCTGCGAGAGTTAAGACAAACATTAGAAACATTAAGCAAGTCCACACGTATGAGGCCTAGCACAAGGGTGCTATCAGAACTGATGTCATCACTAGAGAGATAAATTATCTGCATGGTACCAAGATAAAACACAATGGGAGTCCAGATGAGAGAGATGTCCAAGCTTGGTTGACAGATCGGATTTCCTGTATCTGGTATTTGGTGCAATCTGCATAACCTTCGATTCTTTCCACTATATTATAGAGTGTAGAGCCACTGCTATGCAAAGATCACGAGATGGGCGGATATATCACTGACGTTTCTGCGCAACGGCTTGTAAACACGTTCCCGCAAAAGACAAGAACGCAAGAACAGAAGAACTGTGCTTTCTTTGTAGACCAGGCCGAAAATATATAAGCAAGGGGCACGGTTAAAGCTCAGTCAGTTCTGTAACAGAGTCTGTGAAGAGAGGACGTGATCCTTGGGGCAGATGAATAGCCATTGTTGGAGTTGTTACCATGAAACGTCTAGTATGAGACCGGAAACAATAGACTG